TTGTTTTGTGGTATATTTGGAGATCTAGAAATGATGTCAAGCATAATGACATTAAAATGGATGCTACTAAAATTATTTCTAATATTAGAAATAAAGTTTTGTAATTTTTTTCCGTCAATCTTATCTCTGCTAAGAATTTTCACAATTGTATTGACATGGCTTTTGATTTTGGTATTCCTACTGATTGTGGGCCATCGAATTATTTTGACAGTGTAGTTAGATGGATTAAACCTAAACATCCATATGTTAAACTTAACTTTGATGGGTCTGTTGTCGGTGCTGGTGCTGGTGGTGTTATTCGGGATCAGTTGGGTTGTGTTCTTGTGGCTTTTGCTGGTCATTTACGATTGTGTAGTGTTATTACTGCCAAGCTTATGGGTTTGTCCTATGGCCTGGATATTTGTATTACTTTGGAGTTTGAGTATGTGTAGATTGAGGTGGATGCAATGCTTTTAGTTCAGCTCATTAACAATGTTGTGCCAGGTAACTCTTAAAACTTTTATCTAATTAGGAAATTTAAGCATTCCCTTTCTTCTTTTAATTACTCTATTTCTCACATTTATCATAAAGCAAATTTATGTGATGATTGGTTGGCTAACTTTGGTTGTCAACTTGATAGATTTCAGGAGTTAAACATTAGGAATTTACCCCCTCTGTTTAAAGGCATTATTAACTTGGACAAATGTGGTTTGCCTTATATCCATAATGGTTGATGTTGTTATTTATTTTGGTCTTTTAACTTTGTTTCCCCTTTATTTTATTTCGGGCTACTGTTTGCCTGTTTAGCTAGCTATTTGGTTTCTGGATTGTTATTCAAGAGGGATCCTTTTCTTTTGTTAACCTTTCTGGTGTTGTTAAGTGTGTTGGGTCCTATTTTAATTTTGTTATTAGTGGTGGGGCGGTCTGTTTCCTCATATTTATTATATGTGGTGACTCAGGCAAACTATTGGTTGGCTTGTGCTTTTTGGGTGGCTGTGATTTTGGGATGGTGCAGGCGCTCTCTTTTTTTGTTATGTAGGGGCCCCATTATCTGATTGCATTGATGTTAGGTGATTGGGGTAGTTAATTGTTATCTGGAATTCCCTCCGTGGTTTAGCTACTGCTAGTAGGGGTAATTTTTTCTACTTAATAATTTACCATTTTCTTGTGATTCTCTAGTTGATGTATCTTGTTGCTACTTCTCGGGTTTATGAATTTATGTTATGTTATTTCATTTTATTTTCTAAGTACTACAAATCTGGGAATTTTGGTGTTGTTATATAGCTAGTTGCTATAATTGTTTTGTTTGGCTATATGAGTGGGATTTTGATGCTCCTTATCCTGACCGAGGCTGTAGTATTTGTCTTCATTGCTACTGGAAGTATGGCCGACTTTTGGTTTGCTACCTTAACTAGTTTTTTTAATAACAACTGTTTGATTTTATATCTTTATCATTACTGGTTTCATCATAACCTTGAAAAAAAATTCCTACTTGCAACTTTTTTCCCTTGTGTTGGAGGTTCCTTTTTTGTAAAATTGGAGGCTGGACGTATGTCTTCGTATTTTTGGCTGGGAGGTCGCCTGTTCAAGGTTATTTTTTTTGGTAGGTGTGGGATTGCCTACTTTTTTGCCGAAAGTTCGTGTTGATTGATTTACTTTTGTTCTTCCTTTTTTTGGTGTTGTTTACTTGCACCCCTAGAATGTTCTTAGGGATTTTTGTAACTCTTAGTATAAGGAATCATCAGTTCTTAGATTTTCTTTTATTTTATTTTGTAGCTCCTGTGAGCATTAGTGAGCTGGATGTTACTTTTAAAGATCTTGCCAACTGTGCAAGGGGAGAGGCAATTACCCCCTCTAAAAAAATTAAAATTCATTTTAGAATAAGAGTTAATGGATAATTTGCCCCTTGAATATTATTTTTTGGCCTTAGACTTTTTTCACACTTTCTATTTCTATATAGTCTTAATGTGATTGTCCGCCAGCTCTGTTTGAGATAATTGCTCTTCTTTCAGATAATTGCTCTTCTTTCAAATAATTGCTCTTCTTTCAGAAAATGTCACTTCAGTTAATACCGGCGGTTTTCAAAAACACCAGCGGCTTATCGGCGGTTCTCAAGCCGCTGGTAAAAATGGCGTCGGAAACCATTGCTGGTGTTCAAGGCTGCCGGGAACAGCTGAATTTCTTGTAGTGTGTTTACTTTCTTAGTTATTAAGCATAAAGCCATAAATTGGGTGCTCTGCTCTATTTGGAATAGGCATGTCATGCTAATTCCTCCTTTTAAACTACGGAATTATGGTGCATTCACACACCAATGGTAATGATGGGTCAAGTTGATAATTGATTAGAAGCCACTTTTACCACCGAGTTCAATTACTTATTTGATAGAAAGAATGTTAAGTCAGTGTCTATTTTTTGAAAGCCAGATTAAATTTTGCTTTTGTACAAATAATATTAACATAATAACATATAAATAATTTGGGTAATTGATTATAATATTAATTTTAGCTGTTATTGTAGACTAATTTAAAATTGATTGGAAGGGGTATTAAAATGAAGCTTCCAAAAAATGAAATCAAAAATATTTTATTCTATATAATAGAAATTAAAGTTTGTAATTTTTTTTATTTAGTAATTATAATGCAATATAAGAATTTGAAGTTAAATTATTTCTTATATATATTTTTATTTTTTTGCCGCCCCTTCTAAAAACTAAGACTGATTCGGCCCTCCTCTTTTTAAACTTGGATCGTAAGGACTTGCAAAAAGTCCTGCCATTGACATACCGACCATTTTAAAACATTTCGTAATTAACTTATATGGCAGAGATCATCCTGCAGTCGCTATCCTTTTTCTCAGCTTTTAATATAGTTAAACAAATGCTTACTTTATTCTTCTAATCATTTGTTTAGTCATTAATGTAATCCAAATGACCACTAAACTTACAGTGTACTATGTTTACTGGTTTTTAATTATCACACGTAGTTAATTAAGAGGCAGCTTAATGATTGCTTAAAGTAGTTAGTTATGTATTTATGCTGTTTAATTGCAGAGCTGGTTATCTAATAAGCTTAACCAGTTGTTCCTTTTATTGGCAAGGGAAAAACACATTGAAGAATTAAAAAAATCAAAGTCTGTGTGCTGCAGTTAAAAAAAAAGAAGAAGACCATTTGCTATTTAAGAATTTGAAATCTCATCATTCTTTGAAATAATAAAAACAGTACAGCCTGTGATGCTATTTATTAATTTTTTTTATTGTTGTTAAGACTTTGTGATTAATTTCTCTCTAATTTTTATGGTTGGAAGCTATGCTATTTATGATTATTAGTTATACCATTATGCAAATTAAAATTTTGTTATTATTATTGATCATATTTAATTTATATGTCAATTATAAATGTAAAGGAAGTGAATTCTTAGATTTAATAATATAAATATTTATTCGCATACCGCGTTCTACAAATGTTGCTGTTCTTATGTCCACATAAAAAAACAAATTATTTCTATCTTCATGTCCGTGCATCATAATTGTCAGCCTAAATAATTTTACAGGCTTAGGGAAGTTCATAAATGATTTGGATGCTTAAATTTATTGCCTGAGATTATGATTCTTATAGCTGTCGGTTTCTTCACATAGCATGTCATTAGTTAATTGTGCCATGTTGATGTCATCATTGTATAAATTAATTATTGACTGATCTGCAATAGTGACTCACTTGTCAAAAATTATATCCTAACCATAAATTTAACCAAAACATAAATGACAACTCTTTCTCAGCCGTTGATCTTCTCAACACTTCAATATTGTTCTAATAAATATTTGAAGTTGTATCCAGTACATTGTAACCTACTCATAAATTCATGTCTTCTAATTAATCTCTTTTTCTCTCTTCCACACAACCAATGCTTTGAAGACTTCACATCCACATCAATATAAATCAATTCTATGGCCTCGTTTGATTGCTTGCAAATATGAAATATGATTTAGAATATATATATATATATATATAGTCAGTCGTTCTAAACTAATTTTGTCTGTCAAAAATTAAATAAACATTTTTAAGAAGCTTGGAAAAAAATTGATAAATTTAAACAATTCAGTTAATAATTATCATTTTTTTTTGTGAAATATAATTTATAATTTAAAGCAAACAAATGTATTCAGCATATGGATCTGACTCTAGCACTTAAGTGGAAGAGAAACATTTTAATGAGCTGTCTCCTTCCATCGAAGTGATAAGCTAATATAACAAAACATTGAAAGCGTCAAAGTATCTAAACAAAATTTTATTCTTATAGAAAAGATTAGGGGAATAACCAAGCAAAATATTCAAATGAGAATAAAGGCCACGTGATCAAGGGTGGGGAGGGAGAAAGGAAGAAGGAGAAAACAGAGATGGGCAAGGAGTTACGAAATTTGGAATCTTAGATGTGGTTATGCGATAGATGCGGCGACTCTTTTGCCTGCTTGCTTTCTTCTCTTTCTACCCTTCTAAATTCTCTATCTTCTATATTTCTTGTCTCATGCCAGCTAACACTCCAACAAATAAAATAAGCCAGTGCCGACAAAAAGCAGCCTATTCATGTATTTATACGTATGAACTGATTGCTTTCCAAAAATATTGAACGGCCTTGATCAAGACATATATCTTCATTAGATATCTTGGATAATTTGGTGATCCTCTCCTCACAATCTCACATCAACATTGAATTTAGGATTTTCGGTATCATACATGATAGAGAAAGCTTATATAAGTTTTTATAGAAGCCCGGCCCATTTAGTACCCCTCCTAATTTTATTCTACTAATTTTTTTTTCAAGAAATATTAATATTCAAATTTAGCTATTTTCGCAGCCTATAAATCTCCTCAACGCTCTGTGAAATGCTGAGTATTACAACAACTCCCGGTTTTCAAGGCAATCTCTTTTAAGTTCTGCTTTATATATTGCAAACCTTCATACACAAGGGAAGAAGTTTCTTCTCTTTTTCTTCTCTTTTTGCTTAATCCTTCTCATCTTCTCTTATGGCACTTGCCAATATGCATGGGCTTGATCTTTCATATCTTGAGCATTTAGCCTTCAAAAGCAAACACGACTTTATGCTTGAGGAAGAAGGGTGCACCAAAAACTATCCTTCAGTACTCCCAGCCCTCTCTGATCAAAGCAACATGCGTGACAATAGCTCTCTTATGTTTCTGGAAACAATCTCTTCATCTCAAGAAGCTCAAACTGTTTTCAACATCAAGGTTGGTGCCGACCACTGGATGCAATCCAACTCTTCAGTTCTTAGTTTTGAACAAAAGTTTGGTTTTGGAGAGAATTGTATTAATTGGGTTGAACCTATGGACTATGACTATCAAATGAACCACCACCATACCTTGAAGAGTGCAAGTGATTCTTGTGAATTAGAAACACCTGATTATGCTTTAATGGATAGTCAACTTGGCCAAAACCGGTTCAAGATTTTTTATTCGACCACAAATTCTGGTGATGATCTTGAAGATATCAGTTGGCAGCAGCAAAGCCTGCAAAAGCGCCAATTCTTGGTCAGTTTATTAGTTAAGAAATACACAGTTGCGTTTAATTTGTATGACTTATTTTACAATGCACTCGTTTTTTCAGCAGATGAATTGCTCCTACGCGAAAATCTGATCGAATTATAATGAATCATGCATCAAGTGTTTGAACTTTTTATAAAGCTCAAAAGCCGTTGTAGTTTTTTTTCTTTTATTTTTTTTATGAAAAATATTAATCAATATCATACATTTTATTTAAGATAAGAAGAAAATAAAACCAATTATATCATAGAACTCATATTGAGAGCTATGTAATTCTTTCATACGACATTAGCCTCATCTCATCAAACTCGAGACATCTCTATAAACCTCTAGAATAAAAATCAATTCCTAGTGCTTATTATTTGGTTGGATGTATGTATTTGCTCTAGAAACCATTACAAAATCATGTGAAGTATAAAAAACTTATTTCCACAGAAGTTAAAATGAAAAATCATTTTCTGAAATTTATTTTATATCTACAATACAATCAAATGATCTCATACGGTATGCTCATTTTTGAAAAGGGTGGTGACATGCAAGCTTCAAAAAAGCATTGTGGCAATAACAAGAAGCAAACCAAGGCAAAGATAACTACTACATCAAAGGACCCACAAAGTATTGCAGCAAAGGTTTGTGCTCTAACTTCTCTCCCTGATGTTGATTGTTTTCATTAATGAATGATTGGTTTGCATGTCATATTACTAAATTGCGACTTTATGTTATAGATTCGAAGAGAGAGGATAAGTGAACGGCTTAAAATCTTACAAGACCTTGTTCCAAATGGCACGAAGGTGAGATTCGCTTTGCACACTTTGATGTATGTTTTGTTGTTGTCTCCCATCCTATTCTCTCCACAGTGCATGCATACATGCATCTTAGCTTACGTTATATTTATGGGTTTCCCTTCTTGTAGTTAGGGTTCTGATGTAAATATATCTTTCAAATTGTCATATTTTGGCTTCTATTTCTGATTAGCTCAAATTCATTTGATCTAATAGAGAGATATAAAGCGAAATAGTTTTATACAAGAAAAATTAATATATTATCGACACAAGCTATGTTACGTACTGTATAAGAGTATAGTATATATATGAGGTGATAATGAGCCTAAATCATATATTTTCTTAAGAAAGTAATGTTAAATATTTATCTACTTATGTCTGTATATCAACCGTTTCTCTATCTCTCTCTCTCTTGCTCCCGTCACATATGGGGCCATGCATTTATAGAAACGAGCATATGCAATTACATATAATGTAAAGCCATCTCAAAGTTTTCTAGACTTGGCCTAATGTAGGGATCTTCCTAATATATTAACGTGGATCTGAGCTCTATGTAAACCAATAACCAATCAAAATATGATGCAAATTTTATCAAATTTATAGCTTTATTTTTAATCTGATTTCAGGTAGACTTGGTTACCATGCTAGAGAAAGCCATAAGCTATGTCAAGTTTCTTCAATTGCAAGTTAAGGTAATACATCAAATTAAATTGTTATTTTTTTTCTGCTGCATAGCATTGTGATGGTAAAAATTTTTAATGGATTCTCCTTGCAGGTTTTGGCAACTGATGAGTTCTGGCCAGCTCAGGGAGGAAAGGCACCTGAAGTTTCTCATGTGAAGGAGGCCATTGATGCGATCTTATCTTCTCACCGAGAAAGGAACTCCAACTTTAACTTCTGACCATTTCGAGGCTTGGTTATTTAATAAGTAACTACTACATTGAAATCTCGGGACCCCATACACAAGAGATCGCAGGAGAAGCAAAGGGCAGAAAAGTAAGAGAGAGAAAAAAAAAGAAGGGTTTTTGTAATTTTGTTTCTATTCTTGCTGGCATAAAGTGCAAGCTTATGATAATAATATAACCTTTTATTTTGTGCGTTGATTCAAGCTTCCTAGCCATAGCGTCTAATCACAAGTTAAAAAAAAAAATTCATTTTTTTAAGCTTCGTATTGTTGAAATTTAGCATAGAATCATTTCTTTCCTCCTGTTCTAATTAAATTCGTTCCTTTCAATTCCCAAAAAAATTATTATTTAGCGAATATGTATTTTGGGTTATTAAAGAACTTAGTCAAGTCAAGCACAGTACAAAGCATAAAAAAATCAGAACCGAAATCCAACTTATCTTATCAAAACGATTGGGCCAATTGTCGTATTTCTTTTTGGGCTTGCACCCATAATTGGGAAGGGAGATGGCTTTACATTATATTTGACTAGGCCACTCAAGTTAAGTTCTCCTTTCACCCGTGACTATTGAGCAAATTCATTGAATATTTGATTACATGTGTGACTCGACTGTCCATGCTCCTTTAAGTTGATCGGGGTGCTCAATAAAAGAACGCCTAAGTACTTGGCCATGCTGAATAAGTTTAAAGAATCAAGTCTAGGTGCTTGGGGGTGTTTCTCTTACAGTCCACAATAGGTTCACCAAGGTCTATTATTTTGACCAATCCCAAATTTATTGTGCAGATCTTTCAAAATTATTTATCTTTCTTAAGCTCCTAATTGTTCTTTGTTTGCATCTCATAATAAAAGATTATTTACTTTTTTTTTTATAAAAGATTATTTACTTAAGTACACGAAAGTAATATTTTATCAGAAAAGAAATTCGTTCTTAAACTTTATACACTGTCGAGAGGGATGGGCCTCTTCATTAGTTGCTGCTCCAATGCAAAGTATTTTTGTGTGAGCTACCAACTCAATTTTTGCATGAGAAACATGTCAGTACAGCGCAACGTAAACCTTATTTCTTAGAAGGTTTTCATAACTTCTTATTTAGCCTACACTTGCCTGGAAACTCGAAATAAACAGTACGAAACTCAATTTTTAAAAAGGAAAATTCTGCAAGCTCACACTTATTAAATTCGTTAACTTTTTGAAAAACTAAAAATAAAAAATAAAAACCTTTTTTTGCTACTTTAAAAAAAAAAAAAAAAAAAAAAACGGCTTCAACTTATTTCATGCTTTTTTATTGGGATATTTAAGTCTATTAAGACATTAATTTGTGATAATATTAAGAATATTAATCTAGATTATGTAGCTCAGGCTGATGATTTTACCACTAAATTCTTTCAAATGACTTGGACTATTATTGAAAATGATTTGGTCAAGGCTGTTTTAGACTTATTTAAGTGTAAACCTTACCCAAAAATTGTTTCTACTACAATTGTTTTAGGAGAAAATTCACAGAGAGGCCTATGCATTAATTAATAAATTAGATTACAAATTCTTAAGGAGATCTCAAGCTCACTAATGCTCAAAGAGCTACAAAAAGAAAGAAAAAAAGAAACATATGAGCTCGAGTTCCCCACTAGAAAAGATTACAAAATAACCTAAGGACAAGCTACGGTGCTTAAGGAAGAGCACCCAAAAAGAAGGAACAAACAAAAAATAGCCAAAATGCTCCCCTCTACCATTCTTCATGCACCTTGTTGTCATCATCCCACATAATCACATGCAAAAAGGACTGATAGGCCAGAATAATAAAACAGAAATTAAAATAGTAAAAGAAGCAAACCTTGATCCTATGATAGCCAAAAAAGGATACTTTCGAGCGAACTAAAGGCGCCCCCAAACCAACAAAGAAAAAATACCAGAATCGTAATACACCAAAAAAGGATACTTTCCTAGCTGCTCAACGAGAATAGCAAACCAAACAAACATAAACTTCAGAGAGCACACAGTAATGCCAATCGAATCGTTCAAGCAGCAGAGCAAAAGGTAATCCTTCATCCCAAAAATCCAAGAATTACATGCAATCCAACAAAACAACCACCTGGCCCGCATAAACCCAACCACAGAAAACAGAAAAGAACCACCCCAGCACCAACTTAGCAAGCAACCAGAACACCAACCCAACCACCACCAAGCAGAAACAGGGCAAAATAAAGACCACCAGAAGAAACCCAAAAGGGGAGACACACAATATTTACAGAAAAAAAAAAAAGAATAACATCCTGGAATAAAGAACAGACAAAAACACCAGGGCCAACCCCACAAAGCAGAAACCAGCAAAAAATAGCTGAGAGGGAATCAAAACACTCCCAGGCACAAAGCCAAGCATGAAAAGGGACGAACAGCACAGCAAACACCAGAAAGAAGCAGAGAAAACCAAATCGATACTTAACATAAATCATCCCTAATTGATCCAGTCTAAGGAGACCTTTAATAAGAACATGTAGCTGATTATAGACCAGCTCATTAACACCATTAAAATTGCAACCAATCTTGGTCATAACATTAGCACACACGTTCCCCGGCCCTTAACGAAAATATTAGAAAAAGAGCAGTTAAGCAAGTTTAAGATGCCTCTAATATCCCTCCGAGTATAAAAAAAAGTCGAAGAGCAAGTGTAATCACCCATACCCTGAATGGTCTTGAAATTAAAATCCACTTCCAGTACAATATCAACCAATTAAAGATTAACACAAAGTTGTAAGCCGTCAAGCACACCAACAAACTTAGCAAACTAATATCATCAGACTCAACGGGCCCAGCAAAATCGCACAAATAGGAGCCTTTATGATCCCTCAAAACACCACCACATCCAACAGTATTACCGATTCTAACACTTGCCACATTCAACTTGACAAAATTAGAAGGCGGTTTAGTCCAAGAAATACATCTATTAACCTTACAGGAATTATAAAACACCAAAATAATACCAAAGCTAGGATAAATAAAATGAAAATTCTTAAAGTTCTTAAAGGAAAGTAACTGAGTAGAAAAAAGAGCAACCACTTTATTCTTGATTTTTTGAATAATTATCTTGTAATTCATTGCAACACAGTTAAACCGAGAATCATTTCTCTCCAGCCAGAGAAACCAAAGTATAAGAAACGAAATAACATTATGGACATGCCTTTTGGCCTTAACAAGACAACAATCAAACAGATAATATAAAGAAGAACTAGCAGAATAAAAGTTAAAGTGGAAAATGTCCTCAAAGTGAGTCCAAACCTTAACAACAACAGGGCCCGAGATGAAGACATGGTGTATATTTTTAACATGAAAATAACATTGACATTTAGAAGGAAAAATAAACCCTCTTTTCCTCAAATTCTAATCTAAAAGAATAAGCTTGTGAAGAAATCTCCAAACGAAAATAGAAATCGTAGAAAGGATAGAATTATACCAAATCATTTTAAAAAACTTAGAAGACTCCTTTTTATCTCTAATGGAATACCAGTCATTCTTAACAAAAAAAGTGTCATCTTTATAAAAAGAATAGAGGCAACACATCCTTAGAAGAAGTGTTTAAAGAAATCTTTAAAATAAGCTGAATAATACAATCAGGAAGAACAGAAGAAAGTGTCTCCAAGTCCCAAGCATGATTAGAAAAAAAGTAGTTAACCTTCACCTTAGCAATTGAAACAAAATTTAATAAGGAATCAATCAACTAACCATTTATCCAACAATCTTGCTAAAAGAAAATATTGCCATAACCAAGCCCCCAAGCTAGATAAGGCTCAACCTTCCAATTAATCGAACAAAGTAGATGCCAAACTTTAGAGTACCTTTAGCAAAACCACATAAAAAAGGATCTCCCCCCACAGTACTTAACCATTATAAAATTGGCCCAGAGACTGTCATTGTTTCTAAGCTTAAACTAAAGCTTGCAAGAAAAAGCCAAATTAAACATAGACTTACATCCTAAAGCCCCTTCTTGCAAAGTCCCACAACATTTGATCTTAGAAGATCAATGAATCTTATAATTATTCCCAGAGCCTTTCCAAAAAAATTTATTGAAAATTCTATCAATTTTATGACAAAAGATTTACTAGGAAAAAGGGTTTGAAAACTATAAATCGGAATCAAGCAAAGTACACTTTTAATAACAATAAGGAGACCACCAAAGCTTAAAAAGTTTGAGTCCCAAGAAGACAATCTATTCTGCACTACAAAAATTAAATCATCAAAGAGGAAAGACTTCCTTCTACCCTTATTAAATCGTTTCTACTACTATTTTTTAAGTGCTGAAAAGTGAAACTATTTACTTTGGGAATTCATGCCTATTAGCATATGTTCATTTTTTAATAAGCTAATTTCTAATATTATTATAGGGAGATTGGCTTTAATGTTTCCTAAAATTATTTATATTGGTCAAACTCTATTTTTTATAATACTTTTCTTGCTTAAGAATTGATTCATGATATTCATAAGTTTATAACTGGTGGGGACATGGTTATTGTGATTTATATCACCAATGCTTATGATAATTTAAATTGGAATTTTCTCTATAGTATTCTTGTTCAGTTTGGTTTTAATAATGATTTCATTAATATGGTGAAGAATAATATTAGTAATTAATTCTTCTCTATTATTATTAATGGGAAAAGTATTTATTTTTTTTAATTCTAGTTAGGGTGTCAAATAGGGGGACCCTATTCCCCGACCTTTTTTATTATTGCTATGAAATATCTTTATAAAGGACTGGAGAAACATTTCGTTATGCATCTTCAATTATGTGTGTTTTGGGGTTTCCCAAATTCGCACTTGAGTTTTGCTGATGATTTTATTATTTTTACTAATGGATCCCTTAGATTGCCGAACATTCTATTTAAACTCCAAAATTTGTTCCAAAATTTCAGTGGTTTACAAAATAACAATAATAAAAGTGGTTTTATATCTGGTATGCCTATTAATTCTCAAAGAATTAGTTAGATTCATGACAAGTTTGGTATATCCCATAAGACTCTTCCTATTACTTTTTTGGTTAGGCCTCATTACAAAGGTAAGAGAAGGTCCCACTTATTTGATGGGATCACTATGTCTATGC